GAGAGAGGGCTGCTGGGATGTACTCTGCAATACCATATGCCTTGTCTCAGGTAAAGAAATATCATAGAACTATACAGAACACAGTGATAACTAAGGTGCTATCTGCTCTGCGCAGTCGCTCAAATTTTATGCTTTGCAGGTTGTCATAGAGCTACCATATGTGTTTGTGCAAACAACGTATTACACCCTCATCGTATACGCCATGATGAGCTTCCAATGGACAGCTGTCAAGTTCTTCTGGTTCTTCTTCATTTCCTACTTCTCCTTCCTCTACTTCACCTACTATGGCATGATGACTGTCTCAATCTCCCCAAACCATGAGGTTGCAGCCATCTTCGCCGCAGCTTTCTATTCTCTCTTCAATCTCTTCTCAGGCTTCTTCATTCCGAGACCGGTTAGTTGTTTCTTCAATCAGCATTCCCGTGATCCTTTTCTGTCGGATGAAAAAGAGAACTTATGTTTTTTTCCCCCTCTATTCTTGTTTCAGAGAATTCCCAGATGGTGGATCTGGTACTACTGGATTTGCCCATTGGCATGGACAGTGTATGGGCTCATCGTGACACAATACGGAGACCTGCAAAACTCCATCACAGTCCCTGGCGAAGACAAGCAGACGATTAGCCACTATGTAACAAACCATTTTGGATACCACAGGGATTTTATGCCAGTTGTTGCACCGGTTCTCGTGCTCTTTGCAGCATTCTTCGCTTTCATGTACGCAGTCTGCATCAAGAAGTTGAACTTCCAGCAACGATAGGAATGCCCTGTTCTGCTGGCTGGAAAAACGGTTGATGCTGTACGGCTGATAAGTTCTAGCGAACAGGGCCGAACAAGATTATGGCAGCAAAAGCTCTTTAGATTTTTTTTTTTGGGTGGAAACACTTCTTTTTCTCTTTCATTTTTGAATCCCTTTAAAATATTGCAGTGTATATAGGGTGTAGCTTGGGTATTCCACACATCGCCAAATGTGGCGAGGTCTTATACAGATTTCTTCTAGCCATTTAACTGTGGAATATTGCAAGAGCATAGCTATGAGAAAATTTTGTTCATGCCCAATTTATCTCACAGGGAATTTTTGGTGAAACCAACTATTTTAATGGAAATGAGTATAAGGCTCTGTAAAAGCGGAAATTGCTTTTGTTGTTTGATATGATACTCTAAAGACAAGGGCAAGTATGTATTAATAGTAAGCATGTTAAGCAGTAGAGGATAAACTTGCTGTATTTGGTATTTCAGGAAAGGTCTCCTTGTTGGCGTACTTGTGCTTCTCTATCTCTCTTGCTAAACTTGGAGAAAATTGTTAAGCCTCTCACTATGGATGAATTTGCATGTGTTACCTGTGGAATCTAAATGATGAATTTGATCAGCGCATCAGATCTAGATATCTTCTCACTCCCATGTCCAAAGCGAAAACATTGGCTGTAACTCGAGCATAGGACGAGCGACAGCAGCAGCCTAGCGCGCTTTGGGCTCTCGCACGTGGACGCGCAGGAGACGCAGACAGCCGACCTTACGTAATCGTAATCTGTATCTATCTATATTTGAGAATGTTTAACACGATTGTTAAATAAATCTTAGAGTTGCAAGCCGTCCAGATAACACACAATAAGCTCTGTATTCTGTTGCAACGCATGGACGTGTTTAATATAAAAGATAAGGCAGAAACATTATATGTGTTTATGTAAGTGTTATAATATTTTTATCTGAAAAAATCTACTTAACCCCTTAACTATTGCCATTTGTCTATTTTATCACTGTACCTATAAAACAATGTATACCCCTAAAAATATTTAAAATCATCTTAATAACCCATGAGGTGGTTTTGAAGGCGATTTCTCTAACATGGCCTATTACGCGTCAACAAATAGTAGAAAAAAATCTACATAATCCCCTAATATATCAAAATTGACTACACAACCCTCCTCAACTATAAAACATGACATTAGCCCTTAAAACGTCTAATAATATTTAAATGATCCCTATATGGTATTATAGTTATTTTGACACTGTATCCCGCCACATTGACCTATGTACCTATGCTTGTATGTAGACTAATATGTTTCCTCTCTTTGCCTACTCTTTCCATACATCACCCACAACCTCCTATCTCCTACTCCATCTCATAGAACTCCTCGACGACATTGTGCTCATGCACGACGCCTGCGCTCTCATCATCTGGAGAGGGTTGAATGGTAGCCAATAAAAATTCTTTTGAAGAACTAGCCAAATCATAATTCCGTTGACAATCGCTCATCATCACACCTCCTTCTGGTCTCCTGATTGGTCCTTCCGATTTTGAGATAGCCAAAGGAGGAGAAAACAAGAGGGGTCATATGATGAAAGGGCAAGCATGATGCGTGAGCTGAATGCTGTCAAGGAGCGTCATGAGGTGGACCAGGAGACAGAAGGTCGTGTGCTGCTTGTTAGGCGGTATGACAATTTAAAAAGAGTTGGGAGAGGGAGGTGACATAAGTGCATGTATGTAAGCATGTGTACTCAGGCCGGTGTGATGGGATACTGCGTCAAAATAACCCAACAAAGTAACCTGAGAAGATCATTTGAAAATTATTAGACGCTTTAAGGGCTATAATATCATATTTTATAGTTAAGAGGGTTATTGTCATTTTTGGATATGCCAGGGGGTTATGTAGATTTTTTACTACTCTCTGTGCCTCACCACCTTGTTAGCACTCATGTATGTCACGTCAATAAAGCCACCAGCAAAACCATCTCAGAGGGCAGTGGCGTATAGGGGTCTGTTGACCCCAACAAAATTTATAAATTATTTAGAAAAGTACAGTTAAAGTTCAAGAAAATTTATATCATATAATAAAGTTGACCCAAATGACCCTGATGACGCTCTTGGCTAGATTCACCACTGTCAGAGGGTTATTTATATAGTTTTCAATACTTTAAGAGTTAGTATGTCTGTTTTATAGGTGAGGTGATGAAGTAGACAAGTCAATAGTTAATGGATCAAGTAGACTTTTTTTTTGGTTTATAACAACTAAGAAAGACTTGTTGATTCTATTAACAATATACAGAGAACACTTCTATCCAGCAATCAGCAAACTTTTTTGATATCGTGTATGTACAAAGAAATTTCACATCATATAATCTATCTTTAAAAAGGAAATAGAAAACTAACTGGCATATTTTTCCCGAAAGAATCAACTGATGTATAAAGTTCATCAATTGGCATGAATTACTTTCTGATTGTGCTGTACAAAAACATAAACTAGTGTTAGAACATGTTGATCAAACTTGACTTATGTCCATCGTTTCGAAGTACTGGACGTTCTTGGTGCAGATATTGTTTGTGTTGCTGTGATTCTCCCTGCAGACACGGCAAAAAACGAACGAAATAATTAGATTAGTTTATATATTTGTGATAATATCATGTCTTGAAAACTTATCTTACTCAGCACACATGTAAATTTCACTTATATTAAATGCCCTGTTTGTTTTGCTGAAATTTGGCTTATACTGATGCTTATGTTGATTTGTTGTGAGAGAAAAACACTGTTCGCTGGCTGAAAAGTACTGCGAAAGTAGTGCTGCAGAACAACAATAATTCAACAGTACTTTTCAACAAACGAACAATGTTTTTTTTTCTCACAACAAATCAGCATGGTAGGTGTAATTGAATAACCAGTTCATTCGAAACTAAGCCATTGGCAGTGCAAATGGTGGGTAATGTATATGTACCCATAATTCATCAGTTGGTAACTGTCTTAGCTCATTGCCACTTTAAATGGATTTAAAATTTCTTTATTTACACGCTTGGTACACTTGTTTGGTACAGTCAGATCAAACATTTTTGGAAATTGAGTTACTATATTCTGCTATAGGTACAGGTTCCCATTGGTAACACGTCAAGTGTTGGAGTAACTAGTACTCCCTCCGTCCCAAATTGTAAGACGTTTGACTTTTTTGGCCACAAGTTTGACCACTTGTCTTATTCAAAAATTTTGTGCAAATATAGTCAAATTTAAGTCATTCTTGAAGAAATTTTATTAATAAACCAAACCACGATGAAAGAAGTGATATTTTACATAAATTTTTGAATAAGACGAGTGGTCAAACTTGGTGTCAAAAAAGTCAAACGTCTTGCAATTTGGGATGGATTGAGTAGTTGGTAACACCTGTTTTAGCTTACTAGCTTTTATCATTTTTCCACCTTTCACAAAAAAAGAAAATGACATTGAATTTGCCTATTTTCAAGGTTGACGTGAAAATTTATGGGAAAATTTATACCTATATAATATTAAAGAACCGGAATGTATTTCTTTTCTCTCTCACTATCTCCCCTGCTGTCTATCCTTCACTCTCACCCTTCTCGCTTTGAGTTTGAAGTCGCAGAACCTTTGTGACGTCACACCACTAATGTCATTGCCTGACCACCCCAGCCCATTCACACCATGGCGACCGCGAGCATGTGGCTCGCCTTCCACCTTTCTTAAACGCACATGTGCACATAAAAGCCACATGCTCGCCTTTTTATTTTCTTACAAACACAACAGGTGCACACAATAGCCACTAATTTAAATTAAGTCAATCTCATATCAATATTTCCATACGAGATTAATACTTATTGCACTAGCATTTATTATGGGTCTTGAAATCTATTTGATTTAAGGTTGGGCCAAACCCAATTAAATCCAACAAAAATAGCTAGCTCATTTTCATTGGTATGAGCACCTTGAAATAAATTATACATTTTAATACAACGCATGGATATGTTTGCTAGTCATTTAAAATTTGTGATACACATTGGCATCATCTTTTTAGTTGGCTAAATATAATTATTTAACTTACTTTCAAGGGAATTCTGCATCGCATGGTGATCTATTCAGTATCATATCATATATATATGACAAAATTGAATGCAAATAGATCCTCCAGCATAATTCAGTGGCGTGCCACATATCTCATAACTACATCACATACACAGTGTTTTTAACGGAATCATGGAAACTTTTTATTCCTTTTTTATATATTCAGGTTACACTGCCATAAGGGTAATTTTTCAGCAGCTGCACTATAGCCATACATATGATTTTTGACAGAAAAAATGCCTTAAATATGCACATGCAGAAGCAGAAATTCAGCTCAGTGAGTCCAAAGAAAAATGGACTTACAATTTAGCTTACTTGGGGATCTAAGAGCTGGAGGATCTCTTAGTTTAGGCCACAAGGAAGTTTGAGCTGGTTTGGATGCTGTTGTCTTCTGGACTCGGGTGGCCACCTTAGACCTGTATGAGGAAGAAAATGTGCTTACAAATAAAAAAGTAATTAGAACAAAAGGCCAACCAAACACACAGAGCTAGCCACTATCGGCACCCAGTCACCTGATCTGATAACATGAATGCTTCCACTAAATCATATGTAACTTAGATTGAAATTTAATGATAGACCTAAGGAAACATTTTTGTACCATGAAACCATAATTGTATGAATTTTCTGTTTAAAAAGATGAGAGCACTTACAACCGATCATTTGGAGTTTTTAGTGCACTCTCTTGTTCTTTCTGAGTGCTAGTTGTGTTTTCCTGCTCCTGGAAGCGTGTCAACTCAACTATACTGCTTCCTGAAACATCTGTCTCTGTACCCATGGAAAGACCACTATCTGATATATCACTTAATCTCTCTTCTGAATCAGCATAGCCAAAGCAAACAAGCTCAGGGTCAGCAGAATTCTGACCCATTGCACCAAAAGAGAGCTTCGGAAGTCCCATAATCCCCCTATGTGGTAGGATATCATCAACAGACTGCATAGAACCAGATTCAGAGTGCCTGTCACTGATGTCAGAGAAGTTATCAGAGTCAGCCCTGCTGCCAATGCTCATTGCCTTTCCACTAGATGTCGTTCTTCTGTGATGGATTTTGCTTCCTAAATTAGATATGCCTGGGGAGGAGGACGAATGTTTCAATGGGGAATCTGCACGTTTTGCTGTCCTGACCCTTGGAGTTTGTGTCTTGAGTTGTTGTAATCTGTTAATTTCCTCATCTTTCTTTGCAATTTTATGTTTGAGCACTGAGAGCTGTGGGGTGGAAAGGATATTACAAATAAAAAGATTATGTATAACACTGGTGGTGAGAAGAATGGTATTTACAATTTCGCATCCGATTTGAAAGAAAAATCTCTACTTAAGTCTCACCCCATTGGATAATATAGAGAATAAACATTGGTAATCCATATCTAGCGCCCTGTATAAATAAGGGATGGACAAAAGGAAAACAATAATTTATCACCTGTTCCATACATTCTGTAATATCTTTGCCTTCTTTATTCGCCTTTGAAGCACCTAGTTCCACTCCAGAAACTCTTTCAGCAAACTTCAAAGTACTTAAAGTCTCCGAATAAGATGAGACATCTGGGTTGATCTGCACAAACATCAAGGTTTTTGCATGGCCGCCTGCAGATGAAAACTGTTAGGTGAGTAACCGATAACATGTAAGAAGTATATAGAACAATCAGCAATGGTAAGCACCCAAAGAACTCTGTAGGACTTGTGTAAGTTTGCTGTTCCGGTACGGTACATGAGCATTCTTCTGCGATAGAGAAAATATGACGTCTCCAAGAGCGGACAAAGATTTGTTGATGTGTTGTGCTTCTTTGAGTCTATTGCCTGTAACAGCAGATCGGTCCACTCTCTCACTCCCAGCAAGATCAACAAGATGCAGTGCACCACGAATAGTAGCTCCTGTTTTCAAATCGACACCTCGAATGTGTGTGGTAACAACACTGCAGAATTAATCAAAGTAACTCTATTTTTAAAATAATCATAATAAACAATGTAACTAGATTATGGGACATGAAAATAAACCTGTGAGATCTGCTGCTTCTTTCATTCAACACTGTCGAACCCACTGCTCTGTTCGCAAGTCCTATTCTCATTAACTCAATAACATCGGATGTTGAATTAACAGGATGCAACGTTGCATCAGGAACGACAAGCCCATTGGGTTGGCTGGCATTCATAATCTCTAGCGTGTAGAAGTTAAAGGAAAAAGAGGATGTTTTAATAAACTCTAATTCCATTTGAAATATGTCAATGATTTGAGTGATATGCTATTATAAAATGTACAGATAACTAAGAGTACATCATGGATGATAAAAGGATGTCCAACTTATTTTTGAGTTTCTACATATGTTCACTTGAACTGAATCAACTTAACTACTCCATCCAATTCCAAATGTAGGTCGTTTTAGAGCTCGAACTTCTTTAACTTACCCATCAATACACGGAAAGTCATATATATTGATACCACATGGTTGACGTTATTAGTTTATCATGAAAAATACTTTCGTAATATAAGTTTTTCTATCAAAATAGTATGTATTTTACAAAATTGCAAATCAAAGTGTCATACCGAAGACCGTGTCAATGTCCCAAACACCCTAAATTTCGAATTATAGGGAATAGTTCATAGCCAACTAGGCTCATCAGAAGAGGAAGTAATACAAATTTATCATAAGCCACTTGCAGAAAGTGTTGACATGTGAATTCAATAAATGAAGGAAGGGGAAAAAGGATATTTCTTCTCTGAACCATTGCTGCCAAGAAGATCACGAATTTGCTCATTGTATATCTCAATCATTTGAACATTTATTTCATACATGATGGTATCCCCACGATTATGTGAAATATGGAAGAGATCATTCAGAGCTCTATAATTGACACCCCGTTCATTCTCTGTTGCATTTTCAGGTCCAGTCTGGGGTAATTGCAGAAAGGAAAATACATTATTACATTATAACTGAAAAGAAAAGACCCATTTTGGTCGTTTCAAAAAAAGAAAAGACCCATTTTCTCAAAAAAAAAAACTATTCAGATGAAGATATTTGTATAATTGTATCCAGTGCATCATACCATTGTGTATGTTTTCCCTGATCCAGTTTGACCATATGCAAAAATGCAAACATTATAACCATCAAGAACTGATCTGATAAGGGGTTCAATGTCCTTGAAGACCTCATCTAGAAAAGAGAAAAGGAAAGGGCAGGGCAAATGTGGTGTGTTAGCATTCCAAAAATACGATCCTTACCAGATGAAATGAAGTTATCAGTAACAAAAGCACATGGATATTGCATAGGTCACATTCATTCGTACCTTGAGAAGCAGTGGGGCCAAGAACTTTGTTGAATTTGAACGACTTGCTCCCCTCCTTTCCCTGTCGTGTGGGATTTGCAATTACCAGATCCCCATTATCACCAACATATTCAATTATAGTAGATTTCTGATCCTCCCCAGGAAGAAAAGGCCTTATCCGGCAGTAGACTCTTATATTTCCTGGTCAAGAATAATAAAAACTCGAAAAAATTCATAAATTAAGAAGATGCATATTCAAATAAGTTGTTCTTTGTTTGCAGAGTCACCTTTTAGTTCCTGAATCTCGTTGTACAGTTTTCTATTTTCTTCTAGAGAAGCATGATAATTTTCAGAATCATTTATCAGTATGTTGAGACTTTGTCCTGCAGAGTTCATATGAATATGCAAGTTATAAAATGTCAATTACAGTAAATGTATGCGATGTAAAATAAAATCACATGCTGCACTGAAACATACCAAGGCCATTAAGTTCTTCGGACCATCTTTTCTGGCAGTTTTGGATTTCATGCCTAATGGAAACAGAAGATAACCTCAAATCCTGATAGGGAAGAAGTTTTAATTTCAATTTCTCACATCATGATGTTTTAAAAGAAAGATTGAGAACCAAAGGATAATTTAACCAAACACTACCTGGATGTTCTGTATTTGTAGACCTAAAAATTGGTTCACCATGATTTCCTTCTGCTTCCAAGTATCCATTCTAGATGCTAACACTTCCTCCAGATCTCTTCTTTTCTTTCTAGAATCTTCGAGCATTAGATCTACTTCTTTTATTCTATGTTCAAAGCATTTGCTTGCCTGCAAAGCACTACTCTCCAGTTCTTGAATATGTGTCTTATGAGATTCCCGTGCTAATGAAAGCTCTTGCCTGAGTTTTGATATTATATTGTCACTATTCTCCTTGTCCTTTTGAAGCTTAAGCACCTCCTCCTTTGTAGATTCTAACTGGTTGTGGTTCTCTTTATATGATGATTTTACAGCTTCCAATTCGCTCTTTAGTTTCATAATTGTATTGTTAGTATTATCTTCTTTCTCCTTCATCATCCTAATGGTTTCATCGTTATATTTAGTTGATTTGTCCACAAGTGCATCTGCTGACTGATCTCTGCCATCAATGTTCCCCTTCCTCAAGGTAACCATCTCGTCTTTCTCCTTAATCAGCATAACCATTTCTTCCTTCTCCTTCATCAATCTTATTATATCTTCCTTATCTTTCAACAGCCTAGCCATATCTTCCTTATCCTTTGTCAATCTAGTTACATCTTCCTTCTCAGTCATCAAGCTTGACATATCTTTGTCAACTAATCCTCTTTCTTCAGTTCTGCTTTTGTCTATCTGAAGAATGAAAGTGATTTAAAAAAAATCAATCATTCACGCAAAGGAGGCTTAAATTAAGCCACGCCTTGTTCGGGAAGCTCAATCTTGTGGTGCCTTTAAGCTGAACCTCCATTGAACTATCAATGCTTATTTGCTAACAAGCCCTTCTACAGAATTCAGATCAAATGAACAATTCTAGAGCAAACAGTAGCAAGAACTCGATTTAAATATACGAACAGGTAACAATTTTTTGGACAAGAGACAAACCTTCATCTGGAGCACATGATCTTCAACCTGAAAATCAATACAAAGAAAGAGATCCGTTATTAATGTCAGAAGGTTTTGTTTTTATCGAAAGTGCAGAAGACTCATCTTAATAGGTTTCAAATGAAAACTGGAACTTATGTTAAACTTTTTACATTTATTTTTCCATTTGCTGCACTTGAGTTTATTTGTATTTGTCCTCCTGTCCTGCTTGCAAGTGCCTCTAGTACTCTTATCCTTGATTTATATTTCTCTTCACGTGCTCTGATAAGGTTATTTTGCTGCCATACAAGTAAGAGTTACAACAAGAATAATCCGAAAATATAAGTATGAAATAGTATTGCTTACATTTCTTATGTGTTCTGCCTGAGTTGAAATGCGGCGTTCAATCTCCAGTATTACCTTTCTCAACAAGCAAGCGATATGCTGTGCAAAGAATGTTATCTTTTTATTCAAGGGGATGAAAGAAGTATAAAACAAAATGTACCAAAGTAATCATGTATGAAAAGAAACAACTAACTGTATTGCTTTTGAGTAGCCTACATAAGGAATTTCTCCATTCTTATTCTCAATGATCTCATCAAGGACGCCATTCACAAAACTCAGAAGTGACTGAGTAGGGGCATTCTGTAAAATTGGTTCCATGTTCCATGATGCAAAGAATAAAAAATCAGATTTTGTGCTGACATTATCTCACGTACATTTCAGAAAGAATTACTATATTCCACTTACATCCAAGTTGGTGGATTTCATCATCTCCAAAATTTTAGAAATAGGCATGTCAGAGTAAATTCCTTGTCTCAGATGGAATACTTCATGAAAATTGTGTCCAGTGTGCCTTGAAATATAAGATAGTTCAGGCCTTGATAATGGAGATGATGATGGTTCTACAATAAGAAAAGATATTTCAACTGATAAGCCTGCTTCACATCTTAACCTCCCATTGCAAGGACCAACGATAAATCATCGTATGAATTTAGTTATCTACATGTGACTACAGTTTTCACTGATAAATATGGTTTGTTTTACATTTTCATATTGCAAAACTAATAGAATAGCTCTGCTCAGCTCGCTCTGTATCCCTCAGTGTTACTGCTGAAAGTTGGACATGTAAAAAAAAATTCTCACCTGGCGTAGCTGGACTTCTGGAGACCTTTGGTATGCTCCCTTTCACCTTTTCTCCAAACTCAGAATTTTGAGTACAATGGCCGTTCTCCCTTATGGGAAGCTCCATGCTGCGCATCCTAAATTTTCCTTCAAGGCTACAATGCAAGCCTTCCCCAACATTGGAACCAAACCGATCCCTCAGTGCAAGAAGACAGACTATGACAGCTGACATTGGGCCCTGGATCAATGCCAATCAAATAAGAGCAGGTAGATAATTTTTTCTATTGTAGAAAGAGCTGGAAACACCAGGAATGTTCCACGACCATATTGCATAAGTGACAATTATTGGCAGAACACCAACACCACCATATATACTACTCGAATTTGGCACTACAGTGGAACATGGCTGACGTCCATATTCAGATATTATAAATTTAATAACCAGAACATCATCATAGTACTCGAATATGGCATCACACTTGAACGTGGCTTAAGTTCATATTCAGATATTATAAAAAGCCATCATTGAATAACTTATTTATTTATATATCCCATACATTTGTGCCGTCCAGAAGTAATCTCCACAGGCTACGGAGTTACCATTGATTTTGTTACCACGAATTGAGTTCGATTGAAGTGATTACAGGGAAACGTATGAAACATTGGAATGTTCCAGTGTCTGCAAGCCATTTGGACAGCAATGGCATGCACCGTACTATATGCTAGTGGAGCAGTGGAGTCACATCTCATTAGTTTGGCGGATCAAATTTTCTGGTTGAGATTTGGATGCTAGCATCAGCTGCATCCAGCATCCAGTAGTAGTTAAAGCAGAAAAGGACGAGATTAACGTTGCCATCTGGCCAATCGGCAGACGGAACAATCACAAGCATCAGCCACCTACAGCGAAAGCAGAGTCCGAGCTTATTCGATTTGAAACTGTAACGCACCGCAAATCACGTGTACTATTCCCGTCCACCCGTGAATTAACAGTCGATGCTCCAAAATGTTACTACTGTACTATCATACTCTCTCCTCAAGTCAGAGCTAAACCCAACCGAACTTTTTTTTTCGTGTTATATATGGAAAACCTGCTACTGAACTGAACGGAAGCAGTTGATGATGGTCCAGGGGAGAATACCGTACCTTGTCAAGGTCAGAGGCGGCAAAGCTGGGAAGTTCCAGGCGCTCCACTGCCGCGACGAACCTCTCGACATCACTCCCCGCCGCCGCCGCCGCTGAGGCTCCGCCCTGCAGCAGCGACGACGTACGATACGATCACGGGCGAACAAACCCAAAACCCAAATGGAGCGATCGAGGACCTACCTGGTCGGGCGTAGAAGCACAGCCGAGCCTGCGGAGCGCCGCGCCGAGGATCGCGCCGTCGGCGAGAGCGGCCCGTAGGTCGTCGTCGGACGCGTGAGGCGGGGGCAGAGGCAGGACAGAGCCCGCCAGCAGCGACCGCAGCCACGCAACCGCCTCCGATCGCCGCCACCGCCGCTCCGGGCTCTCCGCTGCGAAGAAACAAACCCATAAAAAAAAAGGGACAAATCCGTAGTAAAGCGTCGGCCGCCGCGGGACAGCAAAATTTGGTGAAGAGTAGAGCAGACATGGGAGAGGGAGGGGTTTACGGGACTCGGTGGAGGCGGCGGACATGGCGGCGAGCAGACCGGAGACGGCCGAGACGTTGTGGGGTTCGGAGTATGCCGGGATCGGAGGCGGAGGCGTGGTTTGACCCAGCCGGGAGGTGGCGGACGGGGAGGCGGGGAGCAGGAATGGGCGCGCGCGGAGGGGAGGGACCGAGGGAGACGTGGGCGAGTGGGCGACGTGCGGTGCGCTGCGCTGCGCTGCGGCGGGAGGAGGGTTGTGGTGCCCTGCTCCTGTGCAGCGACTCTCTGCCTCTGCCTCTGCTCTGCCTCTGCCTCTGCAAGTCCGAGCGCCAAATTTGGGCAAGCGTGGTGGAGGGACTGGGACGGAACAGGGAACACCGAACACGACTGCGCATTCTTTTTTATTATTATTTTTGGTACTTTTTTGCTGCGTTTACATAAACTACGTACGGCCCAATATTTTGCTGTACATTTGGAATCGAACGAAACCGTCTGTTACAGTGTGAACTCTACCAATTCCTCCCAAATTGTATGTTGGTTAACGTGTTTCTCCGAAAATTAAACAAAAAAATCTATGTTTGTAGGGAGACTCTTGGAAAGTTTAAACACGTCAAGATAAGGCGAGAAAAAGAAAGGTAGGAGCACCGAAAGTCCGTGTGTGTGGACTGGACGGTGGTTGTCGTTGTATTGACAGCAGCAGCAACCGCTGCACCGGCCCATTTCACTATCAAAAAGGTTCCCGTCGCGTGTGCGGTGTGCCCGACATGACGCGCCCGCGCCCGCCGTTTATTTTCCTAGCGACTCGACATCGTGCCCTAACATTCGGATTAACCGTAGTCCCACCTTTTTTTTTTGAGAGAGAGAGAGAACGCATTCTCACTTGTTCAGGGTGAATTCATATTTCCCTAAATATATGTCGTTTTCACATTCCGAGAAACAATTTTGACTAAATATATATTAAAAAAATATTAATATTTATGATACATAATTAGTATCATTAGATAGATAATTGAATCTAGTTTTTTAATAAATTTATTTGGAGATAGAAATGTTGCACGTATTTTCTATAAATCGAGTCAAAGTTATCGATATATAAATCGTGGCGACAAATATTTAGGGACGAAGGGACTAAATAGATAGTTTACTCCATAACTCACTATTGGGGTTGGGGCGAATCCAAACTCCATTATTAGGCCTAAAAGCACCTCTCATGTTGTGTCCTTACCGCAAAACAATATACTTCCTCCGTTCACCAAAGAATGTAATTATAGGATGCATGGGAGTTAAACTAGTTTAATTTTAATTGAGTTTAGTATTATATTAATATTTATGTATGCAGCTAAGTTTATTATGAAAATATTTTTTATAATTAATTTGATGATATTTATTTTGTATTATAATTGTTAATGTATTTTTATATGTTTTAATCAAACTTTAAGACGGTTGACTCAAGGAAAAGCAAGCGAGAATTGTATTCTTGTGTGGATGGAGAGAGTCATACTCCTTTAAATTGATTGTCAACTGAAATATCAGAGTATATATTTTATATTTATTAATCAATGGCACCCCGAGACTGACTACACGACACATTATGACATTAATACATTATTATCGATGGGCATCCCTCCTTGCTGTCAGCTCATCAAGTGCAAGATTAGCACGTCACCGATAATGGCATGCCTTTTCTTCTAATCTCGCCATTGATAGATTAAAGCGTTTGATGATGGCTCATTCCGTCGCCGGGAAGGCACCGTTATTAGTCTACGCCCACGATCATCCTTGTTTAATGGAGTCGGTCAGCAAGGAGACGACATTATTTATTAGTGGTCATCACGTTCCGACATCCATAGGTTTTCTGCTGCCGACCTGCCGTCAGCTGCGTCGGCGGCAAAACTGAAAACCCTTTTGGCATCGTCGCATCGATGTTGGGATAGGGATGTTGGCCTGGTGAGTGGTGTCTGCTTGGAATAATGTTGAGCCAATCACGCAGAATAAATAACCCATAGATACTGGAATACTGCTCAACCTAGGAACAGCGAAAGCCTCATACTCATATATACTATATATATGGCCTTTTCTTTTATCACCGACCTTGCATGGGTCTTGCCTATTGAAGCACTAGTCAAATTGTTGCCAAGATTACTTGAGATGGCGCTCATGTCCGTAAGACCCCTGAAAAGAAGGTCGTTCTGGCATGTGAACGTTGTCCGAATAAAAATGTCGTTGTGGCTCACATCCTGCTACTTAACCGGAGTCCAAGGCAGCAGGCCTACTACCTGCACTCCCTACGAAGGTAGACAACAGCTTTTGGGGTTGTGAAATACAAGTGCATGAGAGAGAATAGTATGGGTATCTTGGACTTTTCTTATTGCTCTAGGTACATGTGCTGGATCTTAGATCGGGTTGAAATTTTCTTCAATCTAAACAAGGCCTTGGTGTTGTGAAATACAAGTGCATGAGAGAGAATAGTATGGGTATCTTGGACTTTTCTTATTGCTCTAGGTACATGTGCTGGATCTTAGAACGTTTTTTATTTGGGATAGAGGGAGTAATAACTAACGAGCCGGATGCTTGCTCTGTGAACACGTGAATTGAATTCTGATGGAGAAATAGGAAACCCACGTTTTGGACAGCTACAAAAATCTATGGCCTATGGTGAACCAGCTTGGAAATCGGAACTTGAAGCAAACTTTTTTTTAACTTTAATTGTCGCCACATGCGATAAAAGAAAAAGGGAAAAAAACCTGTTCGAACGTAAGTGGGCTTCTTTTGCTTCGTCTCCTAACCCGTGAATGCAACAACCCGAGGCCTGAATATTCTGTCTGATTTTAGCCCATAGATCCATTTCAGGCCCAAACACTATGGGTCTAGGGCTCCAAATTCAAATCAGGCATTCCGGCATTTAAGTGGCCCGTTAATGTTTCCAATCTTTTTTATCTTCATATCTGTACTTTTTCCCCTAAAAAAGACTGTACTTTTGGAGTTGCATTTCGCAAGCGACGAATGTCAGCTGGATTATCCTGGCAGGATTGTTTACAAGACGTGATTCCCTTAAAACCGAACGTAGACTAGTTGGAAACCAAACAACTACAACTTTTCACATATTCAAAAAGTGAACATGTGGAGGATAGTAAATTATGTCGCACACGTTATTAGAAGGAACAGGAAGGATATAGTAAATTATGTCGCTTCCATAATAAATTAGAAACCATTTGATGCATATTTTTTTAATGTCATTATGCTTTATTCTTTTTTTAAGGGGAGAGCTCAACTATAGAAGGTCAACATGATTACAATCACGGGCTAAAGCCACCAACACATAGATCGGGATGTCATTAGCAACAAAAACATGCGAAAGCTCTCTTCTACCAAACTAACACAACTCATGAACTACCTCATTTGCACTCCGATGACACTTGGAGATTCTGACTTCCTGAAAGTTCTTGATGATTTCCTTCGCTTCTTCTATGGTATGGCATAAAATAGATCAGTTTTTGCACTTGTCCTCTAGATGATGTACCGTTCCTAGGCAGTCTAATTTCAACCAGAGGCGCCCTTTCCATGAAGATAGGGTGTGTTTTAGACCCGTCCATGCAACTAGACATTCCGCTTCTTCGGCCGACTTGCATCGTTGATCACTTGATAATCCAGAAAACAAAACCTCGCCCACATGGTTCCTTGTAATGAAATCAAGGCCGACATGATCGGAGAGGGGGTCGAAACCTGCATCCACATAGTTTTATCCAGTCGGGGGAGGCGACGACCAAGGAGCTTTGACTTTTTTGTCATATTGAGGAGCAGAGTAGTGCTCTACAGGCTCTGGATTACTGATTTCTTTGACCTTTCCTAGGTGTCGATGTTTCGAGTTACCAACTAGTAAATTTCTAGTATTGCGTGTCTGGCTCGGATGGTGTGCTTAGAGGACACGAAGTTTATACTGGTTCGGGCAGAAAGTCCCTACGTCTAGTTTGTCACTGCTGCTCGTGTTACTAGCACTGAAAGTTTGTAGTAGGGGTTACAAACGGGTGAGAGAGGAAGAGGATCCCAGGTCTCTGGTGGATAATGTGAACGGGTGCTAAGAGCTCGATCGCTGCTCAGCCGTGTGTTTGTGTCGTGCTCTTATGTTTTTATCTAGTGGTTCGGTCTCGTACGGGTCTGCCTCGATCCCCTTCATGGGCGCCCTACTTTCCCTTTTATAGGCCAACGAAAAGCGCGGGTTACAGCGGAGGAAAAGGAGAAGAACGAGAGAGAGGAAGACTTCTAGGATCGCCAGGTCCTTCTCCTTCATGCGGGTCCCGCCGATCCTGTAGATGTCAACAGGGACGGCTCCATGTCGCGGCCCTGTCCGTCACTGGCGCCATGCGCAGGCGTCATCTGTCGGTCATGGCGATCCATCCCGTTCCAGCGGACGTCGTGGTGAACTGACGCGCCTGTCAGCGTTTGTACGAGGGTTAGGTAGAACAACATCGGTATGCCCGACGCTGTTCTTGATGTGAATCCTCAGGTATGGCCCGTCATGTTCTCGGGTTACATCGAGTCGTGCCCGTCTCTTCCCTGGTGTCAGAGTTTTGACCCGGGCCCATACGCCTGGACCTAGAGTGGTTGGCGACGATATGGGTCCTCGTCGGGCAAGACAGAGCCCGTGACCCTTCGGGGTCGGGCGAGACGGAGCCCACGACCCTTTGGGGTCAGATGAGATGGAGCACGCACCCAAGGGTCGAGCGAGATGGAGCCCGTGGCCTCGGGGTCGGGTGAGACAGAGCCCGCGGCCTTGGACGAGACCCCCGCGGCCTCGAGGTCGGGTGAGGCGGAGCCCGTGACCCTTGGGGGTCGGACGAGATGGATCACGCACCCAAGGATCGGGCGAGACGTAGCCCGCAGCCTTGGGGTTGGACGAGACGGAGCCCGCGGCCTTAGGTGAGACCCCCGTAGCCTCGAGGTCGGGCGAGACAAAAACTGCATCCTTGGGGTCGGGCGAGATGAAGCCCATTCCCAAGGGGTCACGCGATACATGTTAATACGTCTTGCTCTATCCGGGGAAGTCAG